TCAACCAGACACAACTTTGGACAACGAGGTCACTTTTTCTCCTGCAGGTGAAGAACTCCCTAGACTGGTGGGGGGGGAATCAATGAAATGTTTGGTCTGCCCAGCTCCAACAATATCTGACAACACACATCACTGAGCACAATGAAGATAAGGAGCACAACTCCATATCCTCACAACTTGCATATGGTCACCTTTGGGTGCTCCACTACCTGTCCTCCCTCCCGCTTCAGACAGGTGCTGGTTGGCTGTTCAGAGAACTGAGGGCGGTTCGCCCATGCAGCCCTATATACCCTTGGGGTACAGCACGTGGTTGTATAGAGCAGTGGTTTTCAAACTGTGGGTTGCGACCCAGCACTGCGTTGCGACGGCTCTGGTCAGCACCGCCGAGCGGGCCGTTTAAAAGTCCTATTAGCAGTGCTGCCCAGCTAGGCAGGCTAGTTCCTACCTGTTCCGACACCATGCTGTGCCCCGGAAGTGGCCAACAGCAGGTCTGGCTCCAGGTGGGGACGCCATGGGGCTCCATGTGCTGCCCCCGCCCCGAGCACTGGCTCTGACCAATTCCCAGCTAATGAGTGCAATGAGAGCTGGGCGGGGGGACAGGCAGTGCCTGCAGGTGAGAGCCTTGCGGAGTTGCTAGCGCACCTCTGCCTAGGAGCTGGGCCTGCTGCTGGCCGCTCTCTGGGCGTAGCGCAGTCCGTGGTGCCAGGACAGGCAGGAAGCCTGCCTTAGCACCCCCTCCTCACCGCTGACCAGGAGCTGCCCAAGGTAATCCCAAGCCCTGAGTCCCCAAACCCTCATCTCCTCCCCCCCCCCCCAGCCCTCACTCCCACACCCCAACCCTCTGCCCCAGCCCTAAGCCCCTCCAACACCCCTCATCCCTCAGCTCCGTTGGGTCCGGCATCAACAGTTTTCTTCAACTGGGTCGCTAGTAATTTTTTTTTTTTTTAAACCTACCTGGTATAGAGCATATGCACAGGCCAAATGTATGCTGCTAACAGGAAAACCTCCTCCGATCAAGGGCTTGTGGCACATGGTGCGTCCTTAGGCAGACACCCCTCGAACCACAGTTACTGTGTAAGGTGAGTAACCTCTTAAGACATCCATTGCCACAGAATCCCTGGTGTTTGGTGTAAATAGTAAAAACAAGTTTTTCTGATTGAGCTGCTTATGCTTTTTTTCAGGCTCATTACAATGTGACCACAACTAAACTACTGAATCCAGACCAGCTATTGAATGAAATAATTACCATCCTCCCAAAGAAACAGGTTGACTATGTACAGAAGGGGTAAGTCAAGTGTCAGGCAAAACTCATTCCAGCTTGTCTTTGCCCAAGTTGCTAGTTCTCTAGTTTTGCTAAAGCAAAGCATTCAACTTTCTCTCTCTCTCTCTCTCTCTCTCTACCTCCTCACATTGCCTCTTGTTAAATATTGTACCTCCTATTAGACCACATGAGACACATCCATGTGGTAATTATTGCCTATCTGATGCAAAACAAATGTATCCTAAAATTCCTTAACTCTCTCATACGAATGTGAATAGTCAGTCTCCTGTGCTGATCTGTCACACATGTTGTAGCAACTTATTTAAAGAAGCTGAGCAAACTTAGCTAATCCTATCTCTTGTGATTTCATTGACAGCAAAGACTCATTCTGATACTGTCCTGTTTGCCAAGATAAGGCAGTTTAGTGCTATCATGATGGAGATCACGGTGACCTTCATATAATACCACTTAAAATACTATAATTCCTAGCTGACACAATGTGAGCCTTACTACCTGTCTGTACAGTGCCAGCCATTGAATAGATGTGTTTAACTTGCAGAATCTGGTGGTTAGGGAGTGCAATCTGGGCTCTATTCCTGGTTCTGCTGCTAACTGACACTCGTCAAAAGACTGAATGTGTGTCTACCGAAATTTCCTAGTGTGTAAAATGGGGACCATAACTCGGGTCGATGCTTGGCTTTTTTTTATAAAATGCTCTTCTCTTCTTGAAGGGAAGGCATTTAAAAAGATGAGCCTCCTAGTACAAGTGTCCAACTTCATGTTCCAGGAAGATGCATTTAGCTGCATTAAAGTGACAAACTTCTGTGACCTGGTGATTCAAAGATCAGAGCCTGGTCTTTCACTCCTCCAGCTGGCAAGAGGTGATCTGTAGCTGGCCCTGTGCAGTGCTGCATCTGCAGAGAGCAGGATGGCTCAATTTCTCTTCATCTGGAAGATGGCTGCAATCTGAGCCTGATGCAGGAGACTAGGGGCAGCCTCACAAGAGGGATGTTGCTGTCATATCTGCAGAAGATAGTCTGACTAGAGAAAAATATAAAATCCTCCCCACGCTTTCTATTCTTTGCCATAGACCTCAATTCCCAGGAGAGGCAGGCAGCAGTTCTTGTGGCTAGGGAGACCTTGTGCTCCGCATTAGCATTTGCAGACAAGGTATCCTTTTCCAAAAGGGAACTAGCTTTCATTTCACCTACCTTGTTTGAGCTGTTTGCTCACACTGCTGAATCTCAGTGGGATACTTTGTGGGAAGTATTAATTGTACCCGCTTAAGCTTTCATGTTGCCAACCTCCTGATGGGTATTAAAACAACTCAATGACCATTCTATTTCTTCTTGCCTTGTCTACGCAGCTATACCCTGAAATGTCAAACGCAGTCAGATTTTGGCAAAGTGACGATGCAATTTGAGCTAGAAGTGTGCCAGCTTAGTAAACCTGAAGTAGTGGGTATCAGGAGGCAACGGCTTAAAGGCGATGCGTGGGTCTACAAGAGACTAGTGGAAGATATCCTATCTAGCTGCAAGATGTAACTAATAGAGGATTCATATCCTAAATAACGGTTTTACACTGCTTCACACTAATTTTTTTTATCTTCTAAAAATTGTTCAAAGAACGGATCTGTTTTTAAATACACTAATTTGTGAATAAATGTGACAAACTTATCTGTCCTTTGTCCTTTTTTTTTAATCATGTATCTTTGTATATCAACTGCTGTCTCTAGATGCCCCTGTCTCGTATGGGTGTGAACTTTCAACTATTTGTATTCTGTAAGTGTAATTTCTTTCTGAAATAAACATTTTATAAATGTAGTAAACTGGGCTCCTCTCTTGGGTATAAAATTAAGGTCCAAATAAGAGTGGTTAGTTTTCTAATACCAAAAATAATCTTTACGGTGTCTTATCAGTTAAAGTACATGTTGGGCAGAAAACAAATTCATTTACATAATTCTTTTCCTGTCTAAGTAGGATTTATTGAGATCGTTAACTAAGTCACAGCTGTGGTTACTAGTTAAACTATATGCTCAATATGTTGAACAAAATAGGATTGACTTCAATAAATATGTTAAGCCAACAATGCTAGGATTTAATCTATAAACCCATATAAAATTTTATAGCGTATGGTAATTCATTACTAAGCCTTAGTGAAGGCAACAATTGCGTGCATGCTTTCTGATCCTGGAGTGATAGCACTTCGAAGCTTAGAGCTATGTCGGGGATTCCAGTAACTTCTCAATCCAAGCCGTTCTAGAGGTATTCCATCCCAGTGGGTGCAGAGGCAGTAACTGGAAGCAATTCAAACAGGCAGTGAGGACATTGCTGGAGTCTTGGTCTACAGATGCTATTACTGTTGTTGTTGGATTGATCTATAAAACTTCAAACGTGCACAGCTGGTTAAGCAAATCCACAGGAGGCTAACGTTTTGGTAGCTGTTATGGCTCAATAGTTCTGAGATGGCAGAGTTGTGCTATTACATACAAGGTGGGTGAGGCAATACCTTTGATTGGACCAACTTCTGTTGGTGAGACAAGCTTTTGAGCTTACCCAGAGCTCTTCAGGCAGATGTTGCCTTTACACTGTGTTGCGTTAATCATTGCTAAAGGGTGAACCGATTCTGTTACCCATCCCTGTAAAATACCACATAGAATCCTGGTGATACAAGTAGACACTACTTTAAATCCAAAGAGCAGTGGTAAGGAAGATTATATTTCTGCAAATGTACACAGAGCAGTGCGAAGAACTCTACTAAAATGTCTTGTAAAATACAGAAAAGTGACCGTAATGAAGCATTTTCAGTAACTCCTCCTGGGCTATGAAGAAAGCCACCACTATGCAGGGCTCTGCATATCTTACACAGTTGCAGCCTGACCTTGAGCCAATCAGACCGGGGAGAGGGAGAATATTACAGCATTAGAGCTACTCGGTGTTCCTGGTGGATGCAAGACCAAGATGGTTTCTACAGAGGAGTGTCAAAAATTTAGAACGCTCCTACAGACAAGATTTTTTTTTTTTCTATGACAGCTCCCCAAACTGGGGTGTGTCCCCCTGAGGGCTGCAGAGGAACATTGAGGGGATTGCTGCTGGGGCCTAGGCCAGCTTCATGCCCAGGGCCATGGCTCTGTACCCACCCCAGCCTTAGCCCCCTTATCCCTCTCCATAACACCCCCCTTTCCCGCAGCCACAGTCCTGCTCCCAGTCCCAGGGAGTAGGGGTGCAGACATGTAAAGGGGGGGGTGAGGTAAAAAGTTGGGGGACCACTGTTCTGACATGCTGGTAATAGCTGGCTTGCCTTCCTCTGAGCACTGAATGCTGTTGGCTGAGACACTGAGCAGACTATTGTTGGTCATGTATCACGGTAGCATCCAAAAGCCCATTCTAGGAGCTGCACATGCATACATGGTCCTTACACTCTTTAAGTTAGGTTAAGATCAAGGCAATAGATGGGCAATGAATCTAAAGTCAATTTGTCCAAGATAAAGTCAGTTTTTCTAGATGAGCACTTTGGTAATTCTCCCTCAAGCTAGCTACTTGGTTTACTTCATGTTGGTATCAGAACATGTGAATCTTCAGTGACTTGAAGGTCAGGATAGTGGCTTTGAAACATGACCATATGACACTGGGCACATGTACAGATCTAGCTGAGGTTGATTGTGACAACACAGCACTATCATGAGGACTTTAAATGAAAATAATTGGACAAAATTCAAACCAGAGTCATTGGACATGAACTAGCTTCCTGGTGCACAGACTTAACAAAGGAGAAAACAACCACATTGGCATGGAGACTGCCAGCTGTTGGGGCGTAAGTTAGTGGTTGGAAAACTGGTCCAAGAGAGTAATCAATGGTTCACAGTCAAGCTGGAAGCCCATATCAAGTGGAGCCTGAAGGGATCTGATCTGCTTTTGTTCAATATCTTCATCAATGATTTAGGTAATGGCATAGAGAGTACATTTTATAAAGTTTGCAGACAATACCAAGATGGGAGGGATTGCAAGTGCTTTGGAGGGTAGGATTAAAATTCACAATGATCTGGAGAAATGCTCTAAAGTAAATAGGATGAAATTCAATAAGAATAACTGCAGAGTACTCCACTTAGGAAGGAACAATCATGTGCACACATACATAATGGGGAATGATTGCCTAGGAAGGAATACTGCGGAAAGGGATCTGGGGGTCATAGTGGATCATAAGCTAAATATGAGTCAACAGTGTTGCAAAAAAAAACCCCCCATCATTCTGGGATGTATTAGCAGGAATGTTGTAAGCAAGACCTGAGAAGTAATTCTTCCACTGTACTCTGCGCTGATTAGGCCTCAACTGGAATTTTGTGTGCAGTTCCTGGGTGATTCAGGAAGGATGTGGACAAATTGGAGAAAGTCCAGAGAAGAGTAACAAAAATGATTAAAGGTCTAGAAAACATGACCTATGAAGGAAGATTGAAAAAATATTGGATTTGTTTAGTCTAGAGAAAGAGAAGACACAGAGAGGACATACCTTTTCAAGTACATAAAAGGTTATTACAAAGAGGTGGGAGAAAAATTGCTCTCCTTAATCTCTGATGGTAGAACAAGAAGCAATGGGCTTACATTGAAGCAAGGGTGGTTTAAGTTGCACATTAGGAAAAAATTCCTAATTCTGAGGGCGGTTAAGCACTGGACTAAATTGCCCAGAGATGTTGTGGAATCTCCATCATTGGAGGTTTTTAAGAGCAGGTTGGACAAACATCTGTCAGGGATGGTCTAGATAATACTTAATCCTGCCTTGAGTGCAGGGGACTGGACCAGATGACCTCTCGAGGTCCCTTCCAGTCCTACAAGTCTATGTAGCCACTGCTGTTTGTGCAGAAGCTGCTATGTTATGAGTGCTCCTGGCAACGAACACCTGTTGGCCTTAGAAGTAGGAGTGCGACCAACTTGCAGAATGGCAGGGAGAAACTCATGTGACTGTAGCTCAGACTGTGCCTGTATGTTGCTTTTCCTACTTTGGAGTCCCATTGCATACGTATACTCAATGGGCTCCGGAGTACAGATCTGTAGACTTGGGCTGCACTTGTCTTGTAATGAACTACCAAGTGTACAAACCATTACTCTGTGATGAACAGAATTGCATGGTAATTACTGTGCAAAATACTGCTTTGTTTCCCTTGAAAGCACATGGGGCAAAAGACACATCTGGCTTCAAGACTTGACAAGTTTATGGCGGGGATGGTATGATGGGATAGCCTAATTTTGGCAATTAATTGATCTTTGACTATTAGCAGTAAATATGCCCAATGGTCTGTGATGGGATGTTAGATGGGGTGGGATCTGAGTTACTACAGAGAATTCTTTCCTGGGTGTCTGGCTGGTGAGTCTTGCCCACATGCTCAGGGTTTAGCTTATCGCCATATTTGGGGTTGGGAAGGAATTTTCCTCCAGGTCAGACTGGCAGAGGCCCTGGCGGTTTTTCACCTTCCTCTGCAGCGTGGGGCACGGGTCACTTGCTGGAGGATTCTCTGCACCTTGAATTCTTTAAACCATGATTTGAGGACTTCAATGGCTCAGACACAGGTTTGTTACAGGAGTGGGTGGGTGAGATTCTGTGGCCTACGTTGTGCAGGAGGTCGGACTAGACGATCATAATGGTCCCTTCTGACCTTAAAGTCTATAGTGAATTCTTTTCTTGATGGGCCATCATCACTATCTGGCCTACCTTTGTTGCAACTGAAAGGCCGGCTGTGGGCGTTTCCCAACCTCACAACGTAATTCAGTAGCACATAGAGCAATAACTGCATGCACAGTGATAGCACATACAATCCACCAGGACATTCATGTTTAACAGATCAATCATTTTAAAATGATACCTCACAAAGCCTGCAATGTATAAAACAATCATATCACAGTGGTGAATATGGGGTTCCAGGATGCTACTTTGAGGTACAGAGTGTCACACATAACAAGCGCAGGGCAGCTCGGAATCTGGTTCAAAATTCCCTGTGTTTAGATACAGTGGCAGCTTCTGAGGCCACTGACGATGGTTTTGTTGACAGAGGATCCTGGTGGTTGACTCTTTCCTTTGGAGAGGACCAGGGCTAATTTTGGGTAACTGCTCTTCTATCCAGGTGTTTGTGCAGGTTACTGTCCTTTGTATGTTAGAGTGTGTTAAATACAGAGATGAATAAAGATTCATAGACTCTAAGGCCAGAAGGGACCATTGTGACCATCTAGTCTGACCTCCTGTATAACAGAGGCCATGGGATGGGACTACCTCAGAATAATGTCTGTTTGACCTACAGCATATTTAAAAAAAATAAAACAAAAACAAAAACCACCCCACACCACAACTATATCCAAAACTATTTGCCAGGCTAATGTGTTGACCTATATGTGATGTGATGCAGTGTTCACCCCACACCAGCCTAAGAAGGGGTTAAGGAGGCTGAGAAGGGGCCAGTTAATCAGCTAGGCCATAGATGAGTGGAATTAGGTGGGCTAAATAATCCCCTGATGATGGTGCCCAGCTGAGAAGGAACAGGCGGGGCTAGGATAGCTGGCAACAGAAGGGGGCCCTAGGGAAGTAGTCTGTAGTCACTCCCTGGAAGTAGGTTTCTTTGAGGCTACTGTGCCAGATAGCCTGCAGTTACTCTGGGGGGAAGGAAGGAGTTTGGGCTGGTAAACCCAGAGCCAGAAGGTAGAGCTGAGAAGTAAGAAGATGTAGGAAGGAGTCCAGGGGAAGAACAACATGGTCTGGGAGTGAGCAGGCCACCGTAGCTAGAGATAGGGTCCTTTGCAGAGGGCAGGCCTGGGTTCCACTACCAGCCACAGGGAAGTGC